TCGCGAAAAGTGGAGATATAAAGATACTACGCGTACGCGAAAGAGCACGTTTTACGAAAAATAATCTATCTCAACTGGCATTGTTAAAATGTAACAGAAGTTTACTTTAGTAACTTTTTCTGTTTCAACAAGGTTGATATATTAAATGGCACAGAAGAAAAAAGAAATGAACCACGATCATCAAAAAAGAATCTAAAAGATTACCGGACTCGAAATGGACTCGGACTCGGTCCTTAATGTTAGGGACTCGGACTCGGAATAAATTTTTGAGGACTCGGACTCGGTTCCTCCCGAACTCGCTCATGCCTGACTCATATTTACTAAATTATAAAGTGAGAAAGATGCTATTTAATAGTGTTTAGTGAACATCATCATATTCTACAAATATCCATTTAAAAATGCATAAACTGGTCTAACTTCAAATTTTACATTCCGTTTTTGCTCACAATTTATTTTGAATATTAATGAAGAACTAATTTGAATTAAATGGATAAAACGAAAGTGTTCATTTTTTCGATTTTTGATAAACTGGTCTATTGGATTCGAGCACAAAGTTGGATATTTTTGTTTTTTTTTATTTATAAAATCTTGTTATAAAGTGACGGTAAGTAGAACTTTTAATAAGTTTTATGAGTTACATTCGTTAAATTTATATGATTGATTTTTATTTTAAACTAGCATCAATCAATACTAGATATATACAGATGCTCATTTAATATAGATGTATTAAAACCAAACGGTCAATCTGTTTCATATCATTATTATTTTTTTTCAACTTTTGTATAATATAAGTAATTAATTAGAAAGATTAATTTAATCATAGATGTTTATAAAAGTATTCTATACCAAACGTGTTTTTTATAACTTTATATAATAGTTGACATTTATCATTCGTGTATTTTTTTTGTTCGATAAATAATAATACAGATTAAAATTACTATTCTCGTTCTGTTATCAGTTACTTGGAGATTTTTCATTTTTCTAAAAAAAGAAAAAAACGAGACAGAAAAAAATAAAAATATTTTTATACAAAAGTAAAGAAAAAAAGTGGTCGCATTAGGCATTATAATATCATATGAATTTTTTACATCGACAAACAAAAGTTTCGCCATTGAATGACGAGACTAGTAATATAAATGATTATAAAATAAAAAAACATCGAATCAATAGTTATATAAAAAAAGTTAAATTACATTCATTTAACAAACAGCAAGAAACAAATGTAGAATATGTACGTATTATAGATTATGATGTTGATAACTCAACCAAAAAAGATTTATCTCATCATAATAAACGAACAAAGAAGGTATATAAATTCATTCGATTATTTTAAAGCATTTTTTTCATTTGAATATCAAAAAATTAAGATAGATGTTCGTATAATTCAGTTTTTCAAAAGAAATGAGATAATATTGTCTTATGTCAACTGAGACATCTCAACAAATAAATAATGTCACATTAGAGTTATCAAGAACAAAGTCACATGGAATGTTTAAAATATGTTTATTTCAAAACATAAAAAAAAGATAGAGTATATAAAAATTCTAGAAATCGTTTATTTTTTTGATTCATTAATCTTCTCAAATTGTTACATCTAATTTATATTCTACTTAGATTGATCGTGTATTACATAATGTTGTACATGGCACCTGGAAAGTGTTAAAAATTGGTTTGAAATCCCATATGTCTACAACTTCTTGCAATTATACTCTTGATCCACAACATATTGCCAATATGGTCATCGAACGAACAAGAAAGAAAGAACAATAAACTAAAAATCAATTAATTTAATATAAATTTCATAGTTTTGATTTATTCATGAAGAAGAAGAATAACGTTAATTTCAATTTAAATCACTGAAATAATATATATATTGCTTTATTCGGATGTATTTTCATCATTGTTGTGCTTCTCATATCAAAGAATAAGAATATTAAGTCTGTTATAGTCAACAAAATTTGATTTTAATTAGAATCTTCTAGGGTATATCTTAAAATTCTTATTCTTAGTTTTACCCTTTAACTCATCGAATGTTACTGATACTAAATAAACTTTATTACATTTTGTAAGACAAACTTTGCTATATTTATTATTATATTATATCATTTCGTCCTCCAACTGACAAGAACATTGCCTCGTCTAGACTTACTTCAATTTGTTCAGCACTTATGATGAAAATTTTGGAAAACTTTATAGAAAAATTATAAAGTTCAGCCATTTTTCTTTACGAGACTGATGTTTCTTCACAGCATTGCCGTCAGATAAACAAAATATTCGAGAAAAAGGGTTTCGAATCACGAAACATTGTTCAAGAAGCCACGTTAACCTAATCCTACATTCTTTTGGTCATTGTCTGTTAGTTACGAGTGTTTCAAACTTAAGAATAATCCTTTGTATTTTTATTTTAGTTTATTGATTAAAAAAGTAATTAAATTACAGTAGTGTGGCGGATAACTATTCCAGTATTGAGTAGAACGAGGGTATATTCATGTGAAACTTACCACGTTTACATCGACTTTTGGTGTAAAGCATATGTCAAATGAATATAAATTTGAAAATTCGATCCTCGAACTTGATGTCTATTCTGAGATATTTGAATTCTAATATTACTGCGAAACTGCCGACAATGGCGTTACCGTCAACGTATTTTTAAAAATTTTCAATACTTGACGTTTTTTCTCGAACCTTAAATTCTATGATTTAAAATAAAATGTATATTATAGAGCTCATCAAACTACCATTTCAGAAAAATAAAAGTTTTGCTCGTGTACAGAGGCAGGTTCTACAGGAAGGAGGAAGCTTTCAGTACCCGTGTCGAGGAATAGTATAAAGTCCAGAGATGGATATGCATAGAAGAGAGATGTGAGCCGTATGGAAGAGTTTTTGTACAAAGTTTCAGCACAAAAAAGATGCCGGGAACACGTGAAAAACTCATTATACCAATCACAACATTTTTGAACAATTTGTTAAAGTGAAAAACATCCATTTTTCAAGACATGTTGAAACCATAATTTTTTTGTCAAAGTGGTCATCATAACATCAAATTGCGTACACAACATCACTTTTAAGCTACACATCCGTCTAACTCGATCAAAAAGTTCAAATTTCATTGTTTCTTTGACTTTGTGGCCAGTTTTTCCAATAATCTTAGAGACAACAAAGTCTTTACATATACTTGTATTGATATCAGACAAACTAGCCTCTCTTATACAGATATAAGAGGAAAAGAAAACTAAACATAAATTATATCGTCATTTTTTCTGTTCTGTTTGTAGATTTTTGCAGAAAATCACTTTGTTCTTAATTCAGACAAGAAACAATCGTGTGATCCTTGTCCAAATTTAGAACAAAAGTAATTTTATGCAAGATTATGGAGATAAGAAAATACATATCAAAATATTTACAAAAGATTCTTGTCGAACGGAACTAATAAGAAACAAAAATGTTGCAAGATTATCGACAAGAATTTTGGATCATAGGCTACTGCTTCCATTATCGGACAAAAATAATATAAGAAACGGTCATGACCGATTTATACATCTCTGTGCCATTACCATGTGCTAAAAACACGTTTGTTCTTCTTTCTACATATATAATTAATGATAAAGAAGCATATCAGTCATGGCAAATTTTTGTTTTATTATAGAAAACATAGAAGTGACTGTCTCTCTACAGCATCAACTGCGTTCAATATATTCTCGCATTCCAATATATATGAAGAAATATTTCCGTCTTTGTTTTTTTCTTCATCATTCCTTTTTCAAGGACACATCTGTCTTCGTGTTTTGCCCTTGTATATTTTAATCCGCATGTTATATATATATATGTTATATGTAGAAGGTGGCTAAATAGCCCATCGTTTGCTACAAATATATAGTAAGAAGACAAAAACATCTTTCTGTCTTTATTGACCATCTCTTTCTCTTTCTTTCTCTCTCTATGGACTATATACACAGACAAATGCACTCTCTCTTTCCCCCTCTTTTTAAGAACAAGAGAGACATTCATTGATTCACTCATACAACGTCGATTTTTTATCAATACAAGAACAGTGTAAAAACATTCGGACATTGAACAGAAACAACAGTTTGTGAAAAAAGTGAGTAGAGAGATATTATAACGTTTATATTCGTGTAGAGAAAAAATTTAATTTACAGACAATATATAGATTAATTAGACGTAAAAAGAATGTTTTTTTTTTTTTTGTTGTTGTAAAAAAACCCACATATTAATAACAAAAAACAAAGAAAATCTTTTCGTACAGCGAAAACGAAAGACGCAGGCAGATAACTTTTTATAGAAAAAAGTAATTGAAAACTTTTTTACCTGGTAAAAAATAACACTTAGTCTTTTTTTTAAATAAAATTTGATACAAGTTTTACATTTACAATTTTTAATACTAATGAGCAAGTAGTTAATAGTAGAAAAAAAGAAAATTTTACGTAGAGTATAATAGTGAGTAGTGTTGTATTCCAATAAAAAAAAACTGTATTGAATCTTAGAAATCCGATCTATTTTCTCAACTTATAATGTTCACTCTCATTAGTATTCTATCAAGTTTGAGTATTAGAAAACTAGAAAGTAAATTACTTATAAATATTACACAGATACGCGTATGCTACTCTTCTCTTTTCAAATTAAAAATGAATAGAAAATATTATGAGTCTATTGGTTATAATAATTCATATCCACAATCATTAATTCTGTTGAGTTATTCGATTTTTCATATTTTCTAATTGATTTATATAATTAATTGCTGTATTAATTATCTCAAGTTCAGACATATTTGGTTGGGATATGGGTAGTGCCGTTCGTAAATCATCTAGTGCAACTTGATATTGTGTATTAGATTCATTTTCATCTTTTTTAGCAAGATCTTGATAATCATTAGAACGTGCCATTTAAAATGTTTGTTCAAGTTGTAATATTCAACGATGAAAGAAAAATAGATTTTACTAATTTTTGTGTGTGTGTGTATGTATATAACGATAACAATTAGATATTATTATATTTTCATATGTTCAGTCAAGATAATTTTTTTCTTGATTTAATCGATATGTAAAATCACAATTTTTCGACTAAAAGTAGATAAAAAACAACAACAACAGAAATCCAGTTAAACATTGAATTTAATGCAAGAGAAAATTGTAAAATTGCTTTTTGACTATTATGTCATGCTGAGATGTGTTCTCTTTTCATAGTGTACACCGTTGAACTGTTGTTTTCTAGAGACTAATATGTGATAAATGTAATTTGTTTTGTTCAATTAAAAAAGAATAGTTCAGATATGGTCGTTGGCGGTCTTAAGAAGAACGAACGGATGAATTGATAATATCGATAATTTTTCTCTTTTTCTTTTAAACAGTCTATTTCTTAACAGTCTAAAACATCCGTTTTGCTCTTAAAATTAGGTCGGAAATTAAACTGTTTTCCTCTTTCATTCTGCACGATATTTGAGATCGATGTCCTCTAATCTTTATAAAATTATACCTTATTCTCTCGATTTTGTCGTGCTAAACTATAAAAAAAAAAAAAATTTGATCAGTCTACATTTGTTTTACAGAAATAAAACGATTCATCTTAAAAGGAAGGAAGAAGAACTTATCTCAGGAACAGTATAGAAAAATTTTAATTTAAAATCAAAATATATTCAAACGAAAATATATTCCGGAAATTAACTTTTTTTTTTTCTATTAAGAAAAGAAATGAACAAAAATTAACTGTGGGCGAAGTATTGTTTTTTACACTACTTCACTAAACTTTACTCTTCAATTTAGATTATTTTAACACCTGATAACTATGATAAGTCTTCTTGTAAAACTTGACGGTAAATTACTGTCTATAATGGTTGATAATTTGATGAATGAAAATATTTGTTAAGACTTTTTGAGATTTTTTTAAATAATGAGTTTATTAAATGACTCAGCTACAAATATATTAGAGAGTACAAGGTCATCATTTTTTTGACAGCAATAATAGAAAAGGGAGTACAACATATATCCAATGAATGTTCTCTTACCAGTTAATATTCAAAAGAACTTTTTTTTTCTTTCTATCTAATTAATAATAATGACTATTTAATATCGATCTTAGTAATAGTTAAAGTAGTTCAACATATATTAACTCAAGAAGATATCAATCACTAATAAAATGAAAAAAAATATATATATTAGATGCCGATGAATAAATTTAATTAACTCTCACATCATTGCTCGTTGTTCTATCGATTTGAATCTCACGCTCATCATCATATAAGTTCAATGTATATTTGGTGCTGAAGACAAACATAATACATTCACGCCTAGTGTGTGACAACTATACACCTTCGTGACAATAATAACGAATAATTTCTATTGCTCTTCGATCTTTTGACAACAAAATAGATGAAGTGATATATACGATATAGTGAGAAAATAAAACGAGAGAGAGAGGGAGAGGAAAAGAGAAGATGACATTTAATCCATCTTTAATCCATACGGATATTTAAGAATGGATTTAGATCAGTGGTTTTTGTCTTATTGTTTTCGTGTAGGATATAACATATGTATATCATTATGCTAAATAGGTTTAATTTTGCTTGTTTCATCCGTAACGAATGAATATCTGATAAAAAAATGTATTTTGAGGGTGAGAGATAAAATCTATCACGGAAGTATGTGAGCACATTCGATGGTTTGAATATAGACAAGAAAGGCGAGTAAGAAAAGCTATCCCATTGTTATGAAATTGTCTATCAGAAACGATCAGTCTATAAATCGTTGTTTAACAAGGTATAATGAAAATAATAACTATATATCCCTTTGAGTCCCGGTTTTTTTATTTTTTTGAATTGTACATAATTTTGTTCATTCATGTTCAAAAATTATAAGAAATGTAAAAAAAGTTGACATATATGGATACTGAAGATACAAAGTTTAATTTTGGAAAAGTTTAGAAAAATAGAGAAATTTCAAATTGACATAGGTCGTTCCTTGAGATATTATTTAGTTTCGAAGAAAAAGCCCTTGGTACCTATAGATACCGCCGGGACTCAAACTGTTAAGTAAGGTACAACGTATAAGATGTAATATTTCAGAGTTTAACAGTATTCTTTTAAAAGATAAGAATTGAATATTATCTACCAGCGATTTTGATTAGAAGAAATAATCCATTCTCGTTTGAATACAAAAAATACTAAGAAAAATTTGTGGCTACGTATCAACTAAGATACATTTTTAATTTAGAACCAAGATACTTGTTAAATTGGATAATCTCAGTTAGGAATATGGAAAAATATAAACAAAACTACTTTTCTCAACTGAGATACAATTAAATCACTTGATTAACATGCGCTCGAATTATGCCCGTAATTGCCATTTACAGATGTGGTTTTATTATTTCGTGAAATAAGAGAATATCCGCAATTATTATTCGTACTCATTCAATATTCAATACTAGAGGCGGCATTTTACCTTTACTTCACTCGTAACTAGTAAAGAAGTGACTAATCTAGTTATTTCGCTACCAGTAACGAGTACGTTCGTTACTTAGTTACTAGTAAAGTGCCACTCCTATTAATATCCTTCTGAGAGACTCACAACAATATAAATTTTCTTTATATAATATTGTTGATACACCTTTTTGGATTTTTTTTTACGAACAAAATCCATGACAATATTTCAGAAAACTTCGATGCAATACTACTTTATTATAGCACGATGTATAAAATAATATTTTTCGAACTTATGTAAACAACACATACGCACCCATATTTTATTAATTGTATCTCAGTTGAGAAAAGTAGTTTAGTTTATATTTTTCCATTTTCCAACTGAGATCCCCAATTTAAAAGGTATCTTGGTTTAGAATTAAAAATGTATTTCAGTTGGAAAGATACGAAATCTGTATGTCAGTTTTTTGTGACAGAACCAACTATCGAAACTTTTATCAGTTCTCGAAATTATACAACTCCTTTTCCTCTTCCTCTCAGACTTGTTACGATGAATCATTTGAAACTGGACAACAAGATTAATAATAATTTGTCCTGAATATGTCATTTGAATGAAAAGTGGAAGTTTCTGTTTGTTAACAAAATAATTATCCACATAGTAGACAAATTCATTTTTAGGCTGAATAAGTTTAGTTCTTGGGCTAACTTGTTGAATTACGTCTTTTTCTAATGAGATGTAAAAATTTGATGAAAAGTTAGCAAATTCGTCTGATAAAAAGTCTGAGTTAAGCTACCGTGTAAAAGACTTTTATAATTTCTAATACTGCCAAATGATTGATGAGAAACATCATTCTTTTCTCTTATTACTAACCAAACTATTTAATCTTTTGTCAAATACATGTTTTAATCATTATTTTTTTTTCTTTTGTAGAAAACTTGTAAATCAAAATCGTCGTCGTCGTCGTCGTCAGAAACGTGATAACAAAAATATGGAACAACATATGTTACTCAGCGAGCGAAAAGATTTGATGACATCACCCGATGAAGTTGCGTTTGTTAAAAAACAAGTATTTGTAAAGTAAGTACATTTAAAATTTTAATTAAACATAATTTTTTAATAAGTTATAATTATTTGCATCAACTTTAAAAATGATAAATTTGAAATAAAAGTCAGTTGTAACTTTTGTTTATTCGTTTTTTTTTTTTGTTAAAAAAGTTATTTCCGACAGGAGATAATGTATAATGCATGACAAAAGTTCGTTTATGCCTAAATAACATTTTTTTTTTCTCTTTTGTTCGTTGTCACAATCCTAAATTGTTCAAAATCTTATCTTTTACATAATTAATAAGAGAGAAAATTATCAGTATGGTATCGATTGACGATTATGCTAAAACATTTAATATTTTGAGATTTAAACACAAATTATCCACCATATTTTATGAAATATAATTGCATTTCAACTATAACTCATCTGAGTTATAAAAAGAAGATTGCAATTGATTGTGTTAAATCTGTGTTTTGCTTTGGCTAGTGTTTAACTCTATTTTTTTGTTTTTCTTAGTTTATTTTGATAGGTGAACTAGACTGGATCATTGAGAGTATATTGATAAGTAATTTGAAAAATCGTTTTACGTGACTTCTAGTGTATTGTTGATGTCAAATCCCTCTATAATTTTGTTTTATTGACTAGAATTGATCTCCTTAGAGAACGTTAATAGAATGCCTTGTTGTTGTTATTACATAAATCGGTTTTATCTAGAATAATAAAAAATAATAAATTTGTTGTCTCCCCTGGCTATTTTATTTTATTTTTTGTTTTGTTTTTTGTTTAAATGTATCATCTGAGAAGAAAAACGAACAAAACCCATTTTTCATTAATTATAGATTTCAAGGGGAAAACTACAAGAGAAAATTTTTTAATGCCGATAGTACACGTTAAAAGTTTATTTTTTATAGAGTAGAAAATAGCCAGCAAATAGGTGAATTATGTTAGAATAACTAACTCTATATTTGGCTTATTGTACATAAATCATAAAAATTAGTAAACATATACTTAATCATTAAAAAATATTAAAAAAAATAAAATAAACAACTGTCAACCATGCTTGTTGCTGCAATCAATCATTTGATTCTAATATTCTGTTCAAATATTTTTCTTTTAGAAAACAAAAAATAGATGATGAGGTAAAATAAATTTTATTGTGTGTGTGTGTGTGTATGTGTCATATTGCTTATTCATCAGTATAAATAGTGACTGGAATATTTATGAGTTTTATTGGTAGTCTAAACTGTTAATCATGGATAAAATTATAAAAAGAGAATGAGTTGAAAACTTAGCATTGAAAATTAGTCATAAATAATCGTATCTCTAGAGAAATGTGTATCAATTGTTGAGAAAATCTGTTCTATTCTATCATTGATAATAAGGAACTTTTTATACAGAAAATTAAATTTTTTCATATTAAGAAATAATAGAACTGCGACAAAAATCATTTCTTTTCTTTTGAAATGAAATTTTTTTCTTTCTAACGTTTTTTCTCTGTTATATAGTGTGAAATATATGAAACACGCTATTTTCCTTTTCTGTGCGTGTGTTCTCCAATCGTTCTCTTTACACAAAAAGACACTGTGAACGCAAGGCAAACAGAGAACGAAGAATTCTTCGTTCTCCTCTCTTCACGTTATTTTTCAGTAAATTTGTGTATAAAGACAACGAGCGGAAACATGCACAGAAAAGAAAAAAAACACTGTTTCGTTTATTTCACACTATATAACGGAAAAAACCCTGTGAGAAAAAAAAAATTTCATTTCAAAAGAAAAGAAATGATTTTTGTCGCAGTTCTAATATATATAAACGTGAATATAGATGAAAAAAAGAAAAGACATGTTCGTCTTACCATGAAGCCTATTCTTATTCTCTTTCTAAAAATACGGACATATATGAAAGTAATACGAAATCTAACGCTTTTTCGTTGAGATATCGATTTGACAGTTGGAGACATTTCCCTTCTATAGACAGATGTAGGTGTCAATCGATTATAAACTTGCCTTTAACAAAAATGTGAAAAGAAGTGAATGATACAAGACGACAGACAGAATAAACGTCAATTGTAACTAATAAAAAGAACTAAAGAAAAAATTGAGATGAAGAGCATTTCGATAAAGTGATTTCTATAGAAATAGATGAACTAAAAATATATAAATGTGAACAGAAAGGAAAGAAATGACTATTTGTTTCGTTTGATTGTTTGAAGGGTTATTACACATAGTTATAGTTAATATACATTGTGGTGATATTATAACAACACCACTACTCTATATTTTAAAGAATTTGTTTTCACTGTTTTGTAATCTAATCTTTTTTTTTAAAAATGCCTTCGATTGTTCTCCCTCCTCCTGTCAACGACGACGATGTGAATGATAGTGGTGGTTCCTCTATGATAAAAAAAGAAATTATTTCATCATCTCCATCATCCGCCTACTGGCGTATAATCTTATCACCATTATCATGGTATCATTGTTTTATATTAATTTATCATACGAAAGCACGCAATCGAAAAGATTTATTAAGGTATCGTAGTCTATTAATATTACAAATTTTATTATTAACTATATGGTGTTATTTATATTGGATGATTGTATTTGATAGTGGATATTATTTAACATTATTAGGACAAGTTAGTACAAAAAAATTAAATGTGAACGATGCACGAATAGAATATGATCATTTAATATGGAAGACATGTTTGAGAACATTATTTATATCAATTGTATTTGGACTAATTAATACAATTAGTTGTTCATTAGCTGCATTATGGAGACAACGATTAGGTGATCAAATGTATTATTTATTATTCAAAGGTAAGAATTTGATGTACGGTGTGAATAGTTCAAGAGCAGAACGGAAACAAAGACGTCTTAATAAATTAGTCTACTTACATTCACAAAGTTCTGTTGTGGGATTAATGCCAGTTGTTTTGGTGAGGATACTGCATTCCATTGGTTTTTTATAGAGGAGATCTCTCTGAAGACATCCATAATCATTTCAATCAAAAAAAAGTCGGTTTTTTTAACTTTCAAAGCCTCTCAAAAGCCGTGACTCGTGGTTCAGTGGCGACTTTTCGAGAGCAGCAAGCCGTACCTTTCTGAGATAAATAAAAGGTACGCTTTTTTTTAGCTTTTTGTGCCCTTTTATAGGATAATATCGCTCTCGGATGAAACACCAGCGTTCGTCACCTGTGAGATGAGCACCGAAGAACATCAAACTACATCAGCAGAAGCCACTAGAAAAAAGAAGGCAGGCTTTTAGCAGCTTTTCACTAGCGCAATTTGATGTTATTCAGTGCTCACCTCACAGCTGACGAATGCTGGTGTTTCATCCGAGAGCGATATTATCAAATAAAAGGGCACAAAAAGGCGCATAAAGGCAATAAAAGTCAAAATTTAAATGAACTTAAATAAATAAATTTGAAAATTTAATGCGACATACATAGCAGAAGTAGCGTGGTAAATTGAAAATCTTTTCGTGGATAACAGATGGATAAAGAAGAGCTACCGTAACTTCATCCATCGAGCGAGCAATTTAAATATTACATCTGGTGTACACAAGAGAATTTCTCTGCAGCAGTCTTGTCGACTCATTTTAAAATCGATCATCGTTTTAACTTCAAGGTTTTAATAATGGTAATCTTATATACTATACATCATTATCATCATTATCATATGATTTACCACAACGTTTAACAAATGAAATATATTTATTTACAACAAATTTATGTATAACATTATTTGGTTGTTTACTATTTTCTGGTACAATAGTTATAATTACAATGATTATTGTCTTTAGTATTTGGATTATACATGTAACACAAGGTGATAAAAATGGTATTTTAATATGTTTGATAATATTTAGTTTATGTGTATTAATGATAATTATTATCAGTCAAAAATTTAATCATTTTACAGTTCAAATGGAAATAGCAAAAGGAAAATTAAGATCATTTTTACAGGTAAGCAACTAACTAAACAAGATTAGTGGTTTATCCAGGTCAAAGATTCTTGTACGTTTTTGTCTGATTTCATAAGATTCTTACAAGAATTCATAAGATCTTATAAAAAACATAGAAACTGATTCTCGATGTAAAACCTTATTAGGGCCGTCTGTTTACTTATACTTGATGTTACTTTACTAGAAAGAATTGAAGAAAGAAAAGAATTTGTTACTAGAAATTAGTAACAACAGATTCTAGTTTGTTACTTTGTTACTTTCGGTAACAAAAAACAACTTTTTTTCTTCTTTGCTCGGGTGAGAAAGATTTTGTGAGAGTGAGAGTGGAATAATTGAATTTCATTAGATATCTTATAAGTTATGACTCTTCCGTTAGCAGTGATGTATAGCTAACAAATATTTATACTTCTGTATTAGACGTTTCACCAACCTTTAGCAAGTATTTCACCCTCACCCTCACAAAACCTTTAGGAGTCACTGGCAGAAATATCTTCTAAAAGATTGTTTGTTGTTACTTTACCAAAAGTAGCAAAGTAACAAATCTTTTTTAGTAGCAAAAATTATTACTTGTTACTAGTAAAGTAATGGTAAACAGACAGCCCTAGATCTTATAGTAAGATTTTATCACATTTTGTAAGATTCTTGTATGATTTTTATAAGATGAATCCGTTTCTATGATTTTCCATAAGATCTTGTAAGATCTTGATCTAATTTTTTGACCAGAATGCTATGTATGCAAACTGGTCACTTAAAGTTTATAAAACCGTAAAAAGACGACGACTACAGTGCATGTCAAAACCACTTTTTTGTTTTGAGTCGTGTATTAAAACTACACAACATTAATTTAATTTGATTATATGCCTGTATAGTAGAGGTCGAGTACTATACACCTGCTTAATACGAAAAACCTTTGAATATAAAATACAATAAAGAAACAATGTTCAGTCCTAAGAAAAAAATAACATAAAAAAAAGACAAAATGATAATAAAAATGTTTGGAAGACTTTTT